GAGAGAGAGAGAGAGAGAGAGAGAGAGGTCAATGTGCGGTTCATTTGATGCCTAGTGAATGATCACTGTTGTCCCAGAGCCTCCTACTGTCTTAACGAGCAAACAGTCTATAAGATTAGTCGCCTTGTTGGATAATTGGTTTAGTAGTTATTATCTTTGACTCCATATCCTTACCTCTCAGCATTTGTCCTTGAAACCGACTTTGCTTTTCGGGTTCCTACATAAAACAAAACAAAACAAAACTGGTGGTCAAGGAGTAAATTCTGGCTCATAGTAACTGTAAAGGACAGAGGAAACCTTCCCAATCGGGTTTCCAAGACTGTCATATTATGGAAACACACACTCAGATCTTTGTCTTGGAACAGCAGGTTGCTGTGCAGCACTGACTTTCAGCATTTTGGAACCAAGGCTTCTTCTTTATGGCCTCTTTGATATTGGAGAGGAAGGATAAGAAGAGAGTAAAATCCAATTACCTTCACTCTTGTTCAAAACCTAACTGACACACTATCATACATCTGAAAACAAGTTATTATTATCTGCTTAAAGAGATGCATGTACTCGCCATTCAGAACCCTGTCCAGTAAAAATCTCATGCTGCATAAAACCCTTTCTCTTCCCTGATGCCACTCCACTTCACTGTTAGCTGGAAGCAGCCAGATTGGTCTTCGTCCATTTCCCCACCCCCCCCACAAGTTCAGGGTCGTAATGACAAGGATAAAACTAGGGTTTCTGCCCTACCTGCTAAGAGAATAAACAAGAGACCCAGTGAAATAAGTTATGAACAAAAGGTTTTGTGAGAATTGGGCCTGTGTTAAATTAACACACCAGACAATTAGAAAATACTTCAAAAAACAAAAATGGGGAATCCTTAAGGCCCCTTCTCTCAAATGCAATACGAACAAGAGTCACCTGGGGACAACTGGAAAAAACTAGACAAACAAAGATCGAAATCTTTAAGACAAACCATAAAATGTGTTTGGGAAGTCAGCATACCTGTGCTATTGCCTTGCCGTACAATGCAACTTCACACTCTTGGGAATTAGGGGGATAAATGAAGATCCTCCGATGCATGAAACCAAGATAGATAAACCGGTCAGAAATAGTAACTGGAGCCATGATCCCCTAGGGGGACTGAAAAGAGTGGGGAAGTGGGGAGGGGTGGGGAAAGGGGAAAAGTACAGTACAGATGACTGTATAATCACTCGCAGGGAATGAATAACAGAATTGTAGGCAAACGGATATAGTGGGTGGTGTAAGATATGGCAAATTATAATAATGATAATTTATAATATAAGAATAAGGTTTCCTGTGGAGGGGGGTGGGCATCAAGAAGAGCTGATATCAAAGAGTTCAAGAAGAAAGAAAATGTTTTGAAATGATGGTGTCAGTAATTGTACAATTAAGCTTGATCCAGTTGCATTATGGGTTGTTATAATATCTGTAAGAGCTCCCAATAAAATGGTTAAAAAGAAGAAGAAGGAATAATTGGAGGTGATTCCATTCACCTCAGCTCCCAAATTAATCACTTGGAAGCTGCCCTCAGAAAACAACTTGTTACTATTTAGCAAGAAACTCACATTTCTACTCTTAAAACTTTGCAGGATAGTTTTCAATAGTTAAATCCTAATATTTGATTTCATGAAATTCCTTTATAAATGTGGGACATTGCACTTATTGTAATATTTTTTTCTTGTTGTCATAATACTCAGATATTTAAGAAGCTTTACTTTCCAACTCCACATACGTCAACGATATTACAGCCTGCTTTAAATAATAAAGAAGGGGAGATTTAGGGAAACATTGTCCTGTTCCCCTGGGAAGGTTGCTTGGGCGTAAAGACTATAATAAACCCCGAGTGCATAACTGTTCGTATGTTCCAGAAACATGTTGCAAATAAGGAGATTCTTTGCTGGACACCAAAAGAACACCATCAGGTCCAAATGGGATTGTCTATGAGAATGTTTGTTAATCATCCGAGACAGGTTGTCAGCTGCAGGAGAATCTTTGTTAGTGCACAGATGTTTGTTGATTATGAATCATGGAAACATCTTGAGTTTTAAGGCATTGTACCATAGAAGAGTCCCTGCGTTGGAACCCTTGTAAACATTCTCCTTTGGCAGGCAAACAGACCTCGGCAAGCAGAGTGAGGGTCTTGCCTGTCTCTCGTCTCGCTCCCTTGCCCTCGTGATCCATTCTTGAGTCTTGCGTAGTTATTCCACGCGTCTCAGGTAACGCTCAGCTTGCTGGAGTGCTGTGCTTTCCTACCTCTATTCAGCCCTAATGCCTTATGTAGGGTAAAGCTCCACAGATCCGGAGGTTTTTAGAAGCATGTTGGTTTTGTGAACTTAACCAAGTGAAGATTTATAAAGAAGGCATCTCCTCGCTGCTATGGAGTAAGTGTCCTCGTGGACAGGCTAACGACCCTACAGAAGAGGGTAGAAGTACCCCCAGGGCTTTCTGAGACTGTAACACTGACAGGAGTGAAGTGGAGTGACGGGTGGTTTGAACTAACGGCCTTGCTGTTAGCAGCCCAAAGCCTAACAGGATGCCACCAAGCTCCTACGCCTCCAAAGGCATTTTGAAAGACATTAGTTTTGTGAATGTACAACCAAGTGGAGACTTTGTAAAGAAAGCATCTTCGCATATAAAAAACACCATTGGTTTCTATGTAGGAGCTGCTGGATAACTGTCAGACTCCTAACTTCAAGGTCAGCGTTAAAACCTGTAAGCTGCGCCAAGGTAGAAGATTAAGCGATCAGTTCCTACAAAGCGATCTACTCCGATAAATATTTACAGCCGCCAAAACCTTCAGACAGTACTATGAGTAGGAATCAATTCACAGCAGTAGATTTTATTGGTTTCCCTAAATACATGTAGGAAAGCAGTTTCTTTCTGGCTTTAGTAAAGGTATGCACTATTTGCTCCAGCAAATATATTTTACTTCAGTTATCTCTTGGGGAAATCTAATAAGGCAGTGCATTTTCAGGTTACTATTGCATATTTATCACTGGGTTCTAAGAAGAGCAATACTTTTTATCACCAGTGAACTTTATATTTGACAATGAAATACTATATCTGTTCTTTTAGCATTTATTCTGGGTAAAATTAAACAAATAATGGACTTCTAAGGAATCATGGAGATTTGTGGTCTCTAGAAAGTAAAATGACAATCAATGTAACTTTGGTGCCACTAGTAAAAAGGAGAAAACTTATCAGAAAGTATGGATACAATTTACTACCTGAAATGGGAATTAGATATCTTTGACTTATATTTAAAATAAATATAGAACCTAAACATTTATAATAACACTTTAAAACAACTAATTTTAGGCTATGGAATCCAAGTCAAGAGTAAGTATTATTTTTATTCTTGGAAAGATTTTAGATTGTAATTCTTACACATGCTCATGTTTAACCCCATGTCTTTAACTGATAAATGCATTTACTTCTGTTATCATCCTGTGGACAAAGCTTATTGGCCACTGTACCATGGCATCTGCCTCAAGTAAATAAATAAGTCAACTCAGCTCTGGGTATTTTCCCAAAATGTTCTTATTTGGTACAATCAGGGTCCTTGTGTCCAATATTTTTTTCAGTCATATTTTAAAATGTTCAGCTACCAGTCGAATTAAGTGAAACATTTCCCTAGGAATCTCAGCATGCAAAATACATTCTAAGATAAACATTAATTTTCACAGAGTTTTACTTACGTTTCTTGCTCTCTAGTGGGGACTCATGTCTGACAGGGACTGCCCCATGCAGACTGCATGGGCTCCACAAACAATATTAAACCAGATAATGATGTTAGTGGTTATGAGAATAAAAATGGGGGTAAGAGGTAATCGTTGATGAGCATTAAATTTGGGCATCTATGAATAAAACAGGTAGAAGGAAAAGGCCAGTGCTGATGGAAAATGAAACAAAACGAAACAAACAACAGAATGAAGAAAAATGTTAGCAAAAATCCATAAACAGAAACTATCATACATATCTTAATCTAAGCTATGCAAAGAAGAATAAACAAAATTCACAAGATTTATTCCTTATGCATAATGAATATTTTGATTTGAGAGGAGCAATTTTAAATATAATTAATTAAATAATTTTTAAAAAATTAATAGATTTAATACTATAAATCTAACCCTGCATATAGAATCCATTTTAGAGCCTCTATCTAGTAAATGTAAATCCTTCATATTTTCAACAAATTATATAATTAAACACCTATATTTCTTTCATGTTTTCAGTACTATTACTACAAAATAAGGCATATATTTCTGAATTATATTTTCATAAACCCAGTGGTCAATAGCTATGTACACAGTATCATTACAAAAATCTTGTAAGTTGGTACTTGAATATCTCATGTCTTCCATCTTTATCAGTTTAAAACAGTTAACAAGTGGTTCCAGGTAGTAGCTTCTGACTTATGATGAAGGTCCATGCGGATGACTATGTCATATGTTGGTTTTGATGTAATTTAAATACTTTTTTTGTCTTTAGTTTGAATTTCATTCAAGGTCAATAATTCAAAACCACCGCAGGAGAAAGATTGGGCTTTCTATGCACTAAAGGATTTAAAATCCCAGAAACTCACAGAGGCAGTTCCACCCTGTCCTACAGGGTTGCTGTGCTTTGGCATCAACTTGATGGCA